ATATATTGTATTTTAATAAGAATAATCTACTTCGTTGCCCCTACCAACCCCCCTATTGTTTAGCAGCTTTCAGTGAGAGGCCTTATGCCATCTACATACATTTAGCACTTTTGTGCCAGTACTAGAGCCTTGAACTCAGGGTGTTCTGGCTGGCTTTTCCACTCCATCTGGCATTCTACCAGTTGAGCCACAGCTCTACTTTCATCTTTTTGCTGATTAATTGGGGATAAGGGTCTCATTGCCACTAATATCCAGCTCCTTTTTTATTTTTTAATTTTTTAAATTATTTTACTCTATTTTTGTCAATTCTGGGGCTTGAATACAAAGCCTGTGCACTGTCCCTGAGCTTCTTTTTTGCTCACAGCTAGCACTCTACCACTTGAGCCACAGCACCTTTTTCTATTTATATGATACTGAGGAGTCAAATACAAGGGTTCATGGTTGCTACGCAAGCACTCTACCACCAAGCCACTTTCCCAACCCAGCTCCTGTTGATCTCTTGGTGTCTCCTTTTACACCCAACTTGTAATGCTGTAGTTGATTAGAGACCAGCCATGGATTCTCTTCTACTCTCTGCTCTGTCAGGAAAGTCTGTGAGATTCTTTATTTTCAGTTAACCACCAGAAAACTGGAAGTGGAGTTGTGGTTAAGTGGTAGAATGCTAGCCTTGAGCAAAAAACACACAGTGTCTAGCCTTTGACTTCCAGCCCTATGACTGCCACAAAAAAATAAAAATAAGGGCCGGGAAATTGGCTCAGTGGTAGAGTGCTTGCCTCGCATGCATGAGGCCCTGGGTTCGATTCCTCAGCACCACATAAGCACAAAAAGCCGGAAGTGGTACTGTGGCTGAAGTGGTAGAGCACTAGCCTTGAGCTGAGGAGCTGAGGGACAGTGCCCAGGCCCAGAGTTCAGCTCCATGACCAATAAATAAATAAATACAAAAAACAAAACCTTTCCCCGGTTAGTCAGGTGCTGGTGGTTCATGCCTAAAATCTTAGCTACTCAAGAGGCTGAGACTTGAGGATCAGTTTTTGAAGCCAACCTGTACAAGAAAGTCCACTCTTTATCTCCAATTCTCCACCAAATATCTGGAAGTAGAAGAGTGGCTCAAATGATAAGAGTACTAGTCTGAAGCAGAAAAAAAATCGAAGGGACTTTTCCCAGGCCCTGAGTTCAAGCCTCAGTACTAATGTGTGCACATACACACACTTATGTGCACACATCCACACACCTACACCTTTCAGCATGTATTTCAGTATTTCTTTTTGGACTTTAAGTATCTATAAAAGGCTATTTCCTCATGATCCAGTTGACATACAAACTGAAGTTACGTGAAATATATCCACCCTTCCCACATGTTCCTATTTTTTTATACTCTAATATTTTCTATTCGATCCTCAATTGGATTCAATATCTTCCCCAGTTTGACACATAACTAAAATTGCTTTAGTATTGTTAATAAAATAAAGTCCATTTTCCTTACCTTGTGCTGGAAAACCCTGAAGAAGCTGGCTATTGTATATCTCCTTTTAAAAATATATTTGTGGTACTAAGGGCTTAAACTTGGGGCCTGGGTATTGTCCCTTTCAATGCTGGCACTTTACTACAGCTCTATTTCTGGCTTTTTAAAGTGGTTAATTGGATATTTCTGGAGTATTCTGGACTTTTCTGCCCAGGCTGGCTTTGAACCATGATCCTCAGATCTCAGCCTCCGAAGTAGATAGGATTACAGGTGTGAGCCACAGGTGCCTGGATTGATATTGCTTCAAGAAGAAGGAAGGAAGGGCTGGGAAGGTGGCTCAGTGGTAGAGCGCTTGCCTTGCATGCATGAGGCCCTAGGTTCGATTCCTCAGCACCACATAAGCAAAAAGAAAAAACCCGGAAGTGGCACTGTGACTCAAGTGGTAGAGCGCTAGCCTTGAGCTGAAGAGCTGAGGGACAGCGCCCAGGCCCAGAGTTCAGGCCCCACAACTGGACCGCCCCCCCCCCCCAAAAAAAAAAAAAGAAGAGGGAAGGAAGGAGAAGGAAGAATGATAGAAGGGGCAAGGTTGATGGGTTACTGTATATACCTGTATGGGAATATCACAATGAAACTCCTCATACAACTAATATGCTGATTTAAAAAAAATCCTAGAAAAGATAAAATTACCAAAAAATGCAAAAAGCAGAGACAGTAAAGCTAGTGAAAATTGTAAATGGTGCTGGCCTAAAATAGGGTAATAAGAGTAGGATTGAAGACATTGAATAAAAAGATTAGAGACACATTCAGGAGGTAAAGACAGGGTTTAGGCTGGCACCCGTGGCTCATGCCTGCAATCCTAGCTACTCAAGAAGTCGAGGTCTGAGGATCACCGTTTGAAGCCACCCTGGGCAGGAAAGTCCATGTGACTATTATCTCCAATTAACCACCAAAAGTCAGAAGTAGAGCTGTGGCTCAAGTGGTAGATTTTTTTTACCTTAACCAGAAAAGCTAAAGGACAACAAACTGGCTTATAGTTCAAGCCCAGTACTGACACACACACACGCACACACACACACACACACACACACACACACACACACACACACACACACACACACGACAGGACTTGGTAATTGCATGAAAGGATGGAGTGACAGGAGTCAGGGTACTGCTCAGGTTTCTACTTTAGGGTTATTCACTAAGGTAAGATACAAAGGACAAACGAGTTGTAGAGGAGGATGCCCTGAGCTGGGGAAAAGCTGAGGTTTTAGGTTTCTCTGGGATATTCATCCAAAGCTGTGTAATAACCAGCTGAATGAATGAGTCAAGAGAAATATCTAGACTTAAGATATCAGTGTAGAGCTGGGAAGGTGGCTCAGTGGTAGAGCGCTTGCCTTGCATGCCTGAGGCCCTGGGTTCGATTCCTCAGCACCACATAAGCAAAAAGAAAAAAGCCAGAAGTGGCGCTGTGGCTCAAGTGGTAGAGCGCTAGCCTTGAGCTGAAGAGCTGAGGGACAGCGCCCAGGCCCAGAGTTCAGGCCCCACGACCGGACCCCTCCCCCCCAAAAAAGATATCAGTATAGGGGTTATCAACAATGAGCCTATAATTGAAGCTATGGGAGAGAATGAGAGAGCAGAGAGAAGAAGGAGGAAGAAAAGAAAGAAGAACAATGGAGGAGGAAGAGGAAAAAAAGAGGAAGAGGATATGGGGGGAGTAGGAGGGGAGAAGAAGGAGAAAGAAGAGGAAGAGGAGAAGAAAAAGGAGGGGAAGAGGAGGAAGAAGAGAGGGGAGGAGGAAGAGGAGGAGGAAGAAGAGAGGGGAGGAGGAGGAGGAGGAGGAGGAAGAGAGGACAAGGAGAAGAAGATAGTCACTACTACCAAATGCCACCCAGAAGTCAAGTAGGATAACCTCTGAAAAGATTCTATTGGAATGACAGGCTCCAGTGGTTCATGCCTGTAATCCTAGCTACTCAAGGAGGCTGAGATCTAAGGATCAAAGTTTGAAGCCAGCCCAAGCAGATGCTTAGCTCCAATTAACCACCCAAAAAATAACAACAGAAAAAAATAAGAAGTGGAGCTGTGGCTCAAGCAAAAAGGCCAGGGACAGCACCTAGGCCCTGAGTTCAAGCTCCAGTATCTGTGCACGCATACATGTGTGCACACATGCGCACGCACACACACACACACACACACACACACACACACACACACAGATTCTATTGGATTTAGTAACCAAAACTCTGGCAAAATAGGTAAGAGAGCAGTTTCAGGTGAGCAGCTGGGGCAGGTTAGAGAGGGTTGAAAAGATAAGTGGGAAGTGGAAAAATGAAGGTAGCTGAGTGTTGGAAAGTCTTGAAAAGTCTGTAGAAAAGGAAAAGAGAGAAGGGTGGTTGGATAAAAAGACGTTTTGGTAATTGCTTGTCTTCAGACTGAATATGTTCAGATTCTGTTGAGGAGCAAGGGACAAATTTCTAAACTCGGTGGCAAGAAGTCAAGCACTTCTTTTTGATGGCTTGTTTGCTATATGGAATAGGAGGTAAGGGTTATCTGCTGAGGGGTAGTGGGGTAGATGGAGAAATTAGGAAGCCAAGGAGAGGGAAGGTTTTATATGACCACTGGGGAGAATGGGAGAGAGATGATTAAGAGTGTAGTGGTGAGAATGGAAGAATTGACTTAGAAGGGTTGTGGGGTCAGCACGGATAGCCTCATAGAAGCTAGAAAATGGGTTTAATGTGGCACATATCTATGAAGTTGAATGGTTTTCTCCAGCAATGTTTAGCTGCTTGGGCCCTGGCATAGAAAAGATGGACAGTTGGACTGATCCAAGTTTGTGATGGGGAACTGAGGCTATTGGTTAGGGGCTGTGAGGTCTGGAAGAGTATAAAAGACAGGTCTGCTAGAGCCAAGCCCTAGGGAAACTCTAGAACATGTGGCAAGGCTTCTGGAAAAGAGGGTGATGGGAGAGCCAAAGAAGACCTGAAATGGGACAGATGGACAGATTTGGGGGGGGGTGTTGACCCTAGGAGCCTAGCACCGCACGGGGGGGGGGGGGGGAGGGGGAAGCAGGGAGAGATGGGAAAGGCAAATGGACAGATTTAAGGGGTTGAGTCTAGGAACGTGCATGGTGGGGGGGTACCAGGGAGAGACAGGAAAGGCAAGCTGATGGGTGGGGGTAGGAGGTGAGGATTTATAAGGAGCCTGAGGGCCCAGAGGGTGTTTGCAGCGTGGAGTGAAGCTGGCCCAAGCGAGGGGGCGTGGTCAATTGCAAATCCCGGGCGAGGGGGTGGGGCCCCGGTAACTGGGTCCCAGCGCCGCTGTGGCTGCGGCTGCCTCAGCGACGACTCCCGCCTCCCCACCCCCCTTCCCAGGACTTCTTCCCGCCCGCCGCCAAGAGACCCAGACTGAGGACAGTAGGGCCGGATCGAGGCCGTTCTTCTGCTCCCATGGCTGGAGCTTCGTCTTCGAGGACTGGCTGAAGGCGACCCCCGCAGTTCCAGCGCGAGGCGTACACGCGCGCCCCCAGGCCATCGCAGTCTTCTCTTCCCTCCCTTCTCCACCCCTCCCCTCCTCCTCCGCCCCCAGCCTCCGCTGCGGCGGGAGGAAGAACCCTTTCCGACCAGCCAGGAGAACCCAGATCGATTCCCATTCGGGGAGAAAGAAGAGACCTCCACACTTGGATCCCAGTGGCTACTCGCCCCAGAATCACGGAAGTGGCTCGCCGTCCATCCGAGAACCCGCGCCCACTGCAGCCCCCCGACCCTCGCCCAGCCGCAGCCGTGTAGACAGCGCTCCCCAGCGTCCCCCCCCTCCCCCCGGCCTCGCCAAACCCACTCCCCGCTTGGGGCCAGGGCCGGCGATGCCTGGCAAGGCAGAGGCAGTGGCCGCGGCTGCTGCTGCTACTGCCATCGCTGCCACGGCTGCTGGCCCGGGTCGGGGGCTCCAGTCTCCGCTGTGGGGCTGAGCCCGCAGCCCCGCCCCCCGAGCCTGAGGCCGCTGCTCCGCCGGGCGCCGGGCCTCCTCCGCCCGCGCCTCCGCCCCAGGAGCTGGAGCCAAGCGGGGAGCCCGGGCCCCGCGCCCAGGCCCGGACCATGCTTGGCCACCGAGCCCCGGGGGGCGCCGGGCCTTCGGATCCCGAACACCCGGCCCCGAATCCCCCCGGCGCCGCTCCACTGGCCTGTGCCGACTCGGACCCTGGAGCTTTGGAACCCCGACTGCCGGTGCGCCGAGGCTCTGGCTCGGCTCTGGGAGCCCCCCTGGATCCCCAGTTTGCTGGACCCTCGGACGTCTGCCTGGGTGCTGCTCCAGGGCCCCGGGTCGTGCCCTGCGGCCCCAGTCCACAGCACCATCGGGCCCTGCGCTTCTCCTACCACCTGGAGGGCTCACAGTCTCGGCCTGGTGAGTGATCCAGACAGCATGGGAGCCGGGCCATGGGCCTGGTACTGGGAACGGGTTCTTGTTCTGGGGCGCTCGCTTTAAGCTCCACAGAGGAGCTGGCCTGCTCACCCTGGCCCCTTGGGCCCTCTCAATCCCCATTCCTTCCCTTATTTCTGGGCCTTCCATCCAGTTCAGTCCTTCCAACCTCTGTCTCCTCTTCTGTCTCCCTTGTGCCCCCCCCCCCCACCATCGCCAACTCCCGTGGCTCCCTTCTCCTGTAACTGCTGAGGCTAATGGGAGAGGAAACACTCCAAGAAAGGGGGGGGGGCAGATTGCAAGACAGCACTGAGGATGCGGTTGGGAAACAGCAGGGTTTTAGTTGGGGGAACAGGAGAAAAGAAATCTCCCATTAGCCAACCACCTACATTGTGCATGGCACTAAACTGGGTTCTTTGCATGGGCTCTCATTTCTGTGTTGGTATCATTAGCCACGCATTGTAATACAGAAAATGAGGCTCAGAGAAGTCAAATAACTTGCCCAAGGTCACACAGCTAGCATGGACCCAGGATTCAAAAGCAGATCTGAGTCCAAAGTCTGTGATCTTTCTGCTTCCCCAAACTGAGGCTGGAGATCATGGAAGTAGTGCCAAGCCTTCTGCTTATGTGATTTTTCTCCTGTACTACTCAACAGCCCTGAAGTATGAGTGGAAAGAGAGAGGTGGGGGGGGGGAGGATTGACAAAAATTGGGGTTTTGCCAGCTGTATGTGGCGGGAGGACAGGGGAAGGAAGGAGTAGAAGGTGCTGATGGGAGAGGGAAAGATGGGGGAGATTAGGCTGGAAGAGAGGGCTGGGGACTGAGAAGTAGGGAAGACAGCAGAAAGGTCAGAGGAAGCAGAAGGCAGTTTGAACAGAGCTGGTGGGCTGCTGGGCCAGGAGGTTGTTTGTGAGGATAAATCGGAATAGTTACTCGGTCTGTATAGGTGGAGCACATCTAGGTCAGGCCTGGGGCCACAGACCTGGAGAGGCATTTGCACTGCACTGCACTGCCCGAAGTTTCTGAGGAGCCTAGTGGGACCTCCTCCATCTGGGAGATGTTTTCATGTAGGCCTGAGCCCAAGAGCCATAGTAAAAAGACTGTGTGCATCTGCTCTATCTTCTACCGGGACTGAAGTCTCTAGAGGCTTCTGTGGCTCACAGCCTAAACTCCACAGGTCATTGGGACTGTAGCAGTAGTAAAGCAGAAAGTGTGGGCAGGATGTGTCCCCTTGCTTGTGTTCTTGGGCTAGTTAGGGATGGAACCTCTAGACATTTCAGGCGCTCCTTCCTTGTAGGCTTGAGATAGCCAGCTGACGACAGGCCCTTTTCATGCTGTGCCTGGCTTCTTGCTTCTGCTGCCTTTCCAAACTCCCCTTGACAGATGCTGTGTGGAGGGGGCTACTCATACTCACTTTACTGTAGTGCCGTCTTCCAGATCCCCAAACACCCACAACACTCCCACTGTACATGAGTCTTTGCATTTGCTTTGCCTTCTGCCTGTAGCTTTTCCCCCAGCCCTCCCACCTGGCTTGCTCCTCATCTTTCGGGTCTCAGCTCAAATGTCACCTCCTAAAGACCTTCCCCAACCACTTTTAAGTAGGGCCTCTTGTGACTCTCCCTCACAGCTGCCAGTGTGCTTCGATCCTTGCATTTTAATGCAATCTGAAGTGACCCTGTTGGATATATATCCTTGATTATTGGCTGCCTTTGTCTACTAGAATGTGAACTCCTTGAGGGCAAGGGGATGGAGTCTGCTTTGTTCCCAATCATATCCCTAGCAACTGGCACTGAGCCTAGCATCCAGTAGGTACTCAGTAAGATATTATTGAGTAAATTCCAGAACAGATACTAAAGGTGCTGAATAGATTCTCAGTAACTAGTATTGAAGAGTTCTGCCTTCCCTGTACTCTTGGTCTAGCAGACAATAGCTGGGAATGTCTAGATGCCTGGTCTCTGGTGTCTCTGATCCATACTTGGTGGTAATCTTTTTTTCTGTTACTGGGGCTTGAACTCAGGGCCTTGTGCTCTTGCTTAGTGTTTTCCTATGCAAAGCTAGTGCTCTACCACTTGAGCCACACCTCTACTTCTGGCAGCTTTTTGCTGGTTATATAAGAGCCTTAAATACTTTTATACCTAGACTGGCTTTGAACCAGCATCCGCAGATCTCCACCTCTTTTTTGCCAGTTCTGGGGCTTGAACTCAGGGCCTGGGTTCTGTTCTGAGCTTCTTTTTTTTGCTCAAGGCTAGCACTCTGCCACTTGAGCCACAGCACTACTTCTGGCTTTTTCTGTTTATGTGGTACTGAGGAATCGAACCCAAGGTTTCATGCATGCTAGGCAAGCATTCTACCACTAAGCCACATTCCCAGCCCAGATCTCAACCTCTTGAGTATCTAGGATTACGGGAATGAGCCACCAGCCCAGCATTGGTGATGATTCTGAGTATGACTTCCTACTCCACCAATCCTTCCAAATTACGAATCACAATACCTTCCTCACACCACTTCCCTTCTTTCTCCCCCACAAAGCAACACAATGTGAATTCTCAGGATCCTTTCCCCCAATAAAGTCCTTGCCTCTGTAATTGCATGGCTGGGATCTTTTTGTTTTTAATCCAAAACAAGATTTGTCAGGGAAAGATCTAGACTCCCATTCAGCCATTCCAAACTGACTCACTGTGTGACCCCGGGCTCACTCATTGGAGTGAACCTCAATTTCCTCATCTAGAGAATTGAGGAGTCTAGGAGATATATACTGGTTTCAAAGCCTGCAGCCTACAAAGTGGTATAAATCCTCAGCAACCAAGAATTTAAGAACTAAAATAAAATAATAAGAGAGAAACCCTTGTGAGGAGGAGGTGGAGGAATTACTCAAGCCCTGGCAAGGCGGGCACTGGGCCATGTGATTCACAGCAGCATGGGTTGTGAGAGGCCCGCCTCCCCCATTGCCCAGCCAACCCAGGGGTAGGCACAAGTGGCTTGCTTCTCTCTCCACGGGACTTTCCTATAATTGGCCCAAAGAGGGCAGGGCTGGTGGTTGGAGTGTGTGTGTGTGTGTGTGTGTGTGTGTGTGTATGTGTGTGTAAAGGAGGGAGAGGTATTCCTGAACTTCAATTAAAGGGTTGAAGCATTTTTATCCACATGTTAAGATTTCCCTGTGCCTGCTAACTTCCTCTCTCAGATTACTGAAGCTTTTTAAATTGAACTGCTACAATTTGAGCCTACTGACCCATCCTGGCTGGGAGGGGGGGAACTTTTGAAAACAAATTTTACATTATTTTATTGTTATTATAAAAGTGAGGTACTGATGGGTTACAGTTATATAAGTCAAGGAAAGAGTAAATTTCTTTTTGGTCAGTATCCAGTGCCAGTGTCACCCCTTCCCTCACTTTCTCCTAGGTTTTCCTTCCCGTCCTCACCCACAAGTTGTATAGTTTCTTTTCAACATAGTGAGTACTACTGCTGCATTTGTTCACCCTTTGTCAGTAAGGGGGGATTTCTACAATAATAATTATATCTTATCCCTGTGGAGAGGCTTAAATTGCCTCCAACTTCTTTGTGTTTTAGTTATCCTGTTCCATTCCTGTTAGCGGGAGGTACCATTGGTATTATGCCTATTTTCCAAGTTGATAATACCTAAAGCTTCATTGGGTCAGTGAGATGCCAGAGAGTGTTAGAAAGGACTTCCCAAGTACAAGTTTTTGCATAGGGATTTGGAGGAGTCCTACTCTACTCTCTAGGGTTGAGACCTCCATTGTTCTTCCACATGGTTGGAAAAACCTTAGAGCCAGATCCCAACTCAGTCGAAGACATGCATCAAGCAGTGGTGGCTCATACCTGTAATCCTAGATACTTAGGAGGCTGAGATCTGAGGATCAAAATTCAAAACCAGCCCAGGCAGCAAAGTCTGTGAGACTTTTTTTTTCCAATTAAGCATCAAAAAGCTGGAAACAGGGCTGGGAATGTGGCTTAATGGTAGAGTGTTTGCCTAGCATACATGAAGCCCTGGGTTCTATTCCTCAGTACCATATACACAGAAAAAGCTGGAAGTGGCGCTGTGGCTCAAGTGATAGAGCGCTAGCCTAAAGCAAAAGAAACTCAGGGACAGTGCCCAGGCCCAGAGTTCAAGCCCCGGGACTGGCAAAAAAAAAAAGGCTGGAAACAGCCAGGTACTGGTAGTCATACTTGCAATCCAAACTTCTTAGGAGGATGAGATCTGAGGATTATGGGTCAAAGCCAATCCAGGCAGGAAAGTTCAAGAAACTCTTATATCCAGTTAACCACCAAAAAGCAGGAATGTGGTTCAAGTGGTAGAGTGATAGCTTTGAAGAACAGCTCAAGGACAGTGTCTAAGCCTCAAGTTCAAGTTCCAGGACCAGCACACAAAAAACTGGAAGTGAGGTATGGCCCAAGTGGTAGAGCACCAGCCTTGAGCAAAAAAAGCAAGAGTATAAGGCCCTGAGCTCAAGCCCCAGTACTGGCATAGGCATATATGCACATGTGCATGTGCATGCATGTGTGTGCGTGCACACGCGCGCGCGCACACACACACACACACACACACACACACACACACCTGCACACAGGCATTGCACCTGATGCTAGAAAAGTTTCATAGATAATTTGGGAAATTGAGCCAATGCAGGAGGACAAATGAGGCTGGTTCCTTCTGATTTAGAGCCTGGGGCACCTTTAGAGACCTTTAAGAGTTAAATTTGGGGGCTGGGAATGTGGCTTAGTGGTGGAGTGCTTGTCTAGCATGCATGAAGCCTTGGGTTCAATTCCTCAGTACCACATAAACAGAAAAAGCCAGAAGTGCCACTGTGGCTCAAGTGGTAGAGTGGTAGCCTTGAGCAAAAGGAGCTCAGGGATGGTGCCCAAGCTCAGAGTTCAAGCCCCAAGACTGGCAAAAAAAAGAGTTAATTTGAAACTGGAAAAGTCCTCAGACACCGTCTGAACCTGGGTTTCCCAAACTGAGTGAGCATC